TTAATGCAGACAGAATTCAATTGGCTTTTGAACATAAGAAATTAATTAGGAACCCCTTTCCAAATATGACTTAAATTGGAATAGCCTTTGCAAGCAACTTTTAATAGCAACTCATTCCCAAATATGATTTAGATTAAATGTTGCTAAAACAAATTGGGCACATATCCCCAGACTCCCAAAATTGATCTGGAGATTTGTTTGGCATGTGCAGGTCTCAGAGCTTTCATTTTTAGGAGATTTTGTGCTTTTGGGTCTGTGCAGGTTGCAGAGCTCAAAGCTGCAAAACACATCACATGTTCAATGTTTGTTCCCTGGTGTACTCAAAGCCACTGTAAAACCATTGTTTTCGAATCTGAACACGGATTCCGTTTTCGCTTTGTTGCCTTTCAAGCTTAAGCAAAGCAAGCATTTGCTGTCACATAGAAGGTAAACCACCAACACACACACAGTATTTTGCAGTGTTTTCAGGCATCTGCAAGAACGAGGCACACGGACTAGACTTGACATCTTCAACTAGAAGAGAGGAAAGGTAGGCCTGGGGGGGGTGACCATATATTATATAGCATAGATACGTACTTGCCTCAAAGTCAACCATTTGGAAAGGATGGTTTCCCAAACAAGTCCGTCTAAATTAGCGCGGCTTGTGCATTGTCGTTGCTTTTTGCTTGAACTTTGAATCTTTCACTTTTTGGAGACCAACAAACCTGAGCACGTTTTGTGCAGGGGTCAACAGTCCACCTTCTGTAACTGTGTGTTTTCCCAGCGACGAGCAAGCAGCTCGCGACTTCAGCTACCAAGGTACGTGGTCTGCGACATGGATGCCCTGCACACCCGGGGCCACGGCAAGGTGCATCTCTTAACGGAGGAGTGGGCCGATTGGGCGTCAGGATGGAGCTACGTTGAACACGCAATGGGGTTTGTGTAGAGATGCGGGTTGTCTCCAAATAGGAAATGGAACAAACTCGGTGGCCTTCACATTGTTTCCTGCGAACAGGACACCTCTTCTTAAAGTCTTAGCCGGGTTGGCTGTGGTTTGCCTGGGTGGATCAACTTCCTCTTCTGACAATTCTTGTAGGCTGAAGAGAATTCAACGGGGTTGTGTCAAAGGCTGGGCCAGACTGTTCTTGTCGTTTCAAGCCGACTGTTTCCAGTGGTTTTGCTCAGCATGCTTGTGGATTTCGATGAATGATTCGTCTTGCCTCAGCTATGAAAGTCTGGCGATCCCCTTGTAGCCGTTGGATGTCTTTCTTCCAGCGGATCCCGACACCCAGTGAGAAGCAAAGGTCAGCATCAATGTCAACCTCTGGATTCTACTTGTGAGGGTCCGTCGAGCCCTTGTGTCTTTGCTAGCGACAAACTTGACGATGGGAGCACCCGAGCTTGACATTCGGAGGAGAAGTGCTTCTGCTCCGACAGGCAGCAGTACCGAGCACAGGACGGGCCACGGTGATGCCGGGCCCTTTGAGAAAAAGGAGGTTCCGCATCACCCAACTAACCTGCGGGCAAGCTTCTGATTGAACCGGAGAATTGTCTGATTCCTGAAGCAAACCAGTTACACCCAAGAAGGATCATGAGATGCCCAGGCTTGGTGCCACTTATGTGCCGAAACTCATGTATGCCCCGTGTCCCCCCCCCCAGATGTCCCCCCCCCCAACAAAATAAGGTTTCATGTTCATGTGGGCTTTCCACAAACTACTTGCTAGAAAAACATGGCTTCAAGTTTGTGGCGGTTTGCCTCAAACAAGTCTCCAAATTTGACTGCCTCAAACAAGCAACGTACCATTTTTTGCACATTTCTTTTAGTAGGGCAAATAAGTGCTTAGTAAGGGCTTAATAAGGGCTTATTTATTTGGGGGGTGTACCTGGTTTTTCATACCCTCTGCGTATTTTGGCACACCAAGCGGTTTGGCAGGCACATAAGGGCGGATATCGGGCTTGATAGGTTTATTTATTGGGGGGGGGGGCACCTGGTTTTTCATACCCTTTGCGTGTTTTGGCACACCAGGCGGTTTGGCACCCAAAAAGCAACAAGACACACAAGGCGGCAAATTTGCTGGGGCTGTTCAGCCAGTTTTATCCGGTCTGAGGATGCGGTGGTCCAGTAGCAGGTCATGTAAAAGATAGGCTAGGCAGCTAATGCGCAACAAAATTGGTAGTTGATGTTTGAGCAACATCCTTATGTAGGCCTTAATAAACCCTCAATAGGACCTTATTTGTGACTTTCATGAAAACCAATCATAATGTCTTATTAATGGCTTAATAAGGGCTCATTAAGGGCTCATTAAGGGCTTAATAAGGGGGACATCTGGGGGGGGGGGGACACGGGGCATACATGAGAAACGGGGGCTTGCTTTTTTTAACGGTACCCCGTTTTTCTCAAAGTTGAACTTAACCCTTGTCCGGGGGACGTTGGTCGCAGCTTTGGTCTTCACTCACTATTGGCCCCTATTGGAGGGTGAGCCTTTGCCAGCAGGAAGGCAAGAAATGCTGCTTGACTTGCTGCTTGAGTCTCAAGGGCTTCCTCAAAGATGATTGTTTCGGGCGAGCAGAAAGAGGGGTCAAAGACCGAGATTTTGGGAAGAGGTGGGGGAAGGCAGGCTTTTTGACCCTTGGGAAGGGCTTCGACGCGTTATTTTTGGCTGCCACTTTCGGCGATATCGAGGGTTGGATGGGAATGAACAGACCGGGGATTCCATGTTCCAAAGCCCGCCAATGTGGGTGTGTCGTTTTTGATGTGCCGTTTTGAAGGTTATTTTGAAGGGACACCAAGAGTCTTTTGTTCGCTTCCGCTTTGTCTCCTTTGGAGGACCATTTCATCAAGCTGCTGGGTCTCCGTCTCGCTGCTGTGTACGGGATGCCCTGGGAGCTGTGGCTGGGGCGGGTGAGGACCTGGGGTTGGTTGTCAAGACTGCTCCTCTTCAGGCGCCGTTTTCGCGGTCTCTCATGCAATGCAGGCAGCATCCCTCGCAGCATCTTGCGTCCAAGCAAAGTGTGCGCTCGCATGTGGAATGCTGAGAACTGTCATTTGTGCATACAGAGCCACGGCTTGACGTGCATACCAGCTGCGGGAAGGTGCTGACTACGTGGAACCAACGCTCCCTGTCAGACGACAGCCATGCATCGCATCCTCTCAGCATCCTGTCAGATGCGCTTGGGCAAGCACTGACCTGACAATCATCCTTGGAGTGCAAGCCCTAGGATGCAATCCCAAGGGCTTTCGCCTTGTAGCTCAACCGTCTTGCCCATTTGTGGCATCCCAGCCTGCTCTGGCGCTGCCCCTCGTGTTGGGCTTTCGCTACGTTCAGTCAAACACCACATGTGCATCAATTCATGCAGGCCTTATATCTGTACATGCCAAGACCACATTGATCGAGGAACTAGCGTGAAGCACGTGCAGTTCTCTATATACTTTTGAGTTGAAAGACGAATATGTCCTGAAAGCAAGGCACCAAAAATTCACCAAGCCTCTGACTGCAAGACTCATTGTGGAGCTACTTGGGTCGGAACGCAGGGCTCCGCATTGAGTCAGCTACTTACAAGCAACAGGGCAGCATGCCGCGCTGCGCCAATCAGGTTAGCTGCCATGCGTACCGCGGGTTTGCCATTTCACAAAACTGGTTTGAACATCCAGTTGGCATGAAACTCTTTAAAGGGAAGCTAAATAGTGAGGCATTAACTCCAGAACGCTGGTTTTCACAGTGCTTTCTATCCATGAGGAAGCATGTGAGCACATGTCCAAAAAGGGGGCACCAAATTACGGTTTTCGTTTGCTTTCCGTGTGGCAAGGGCTGCAAGGGCCTCTCCCTTAGGACCTGCTTATTGCCCCGGCCACGTCGCGTTGCTGGGCTGTCGCCGGCCGTGCCGGCCGCCGCACGCCCATGAATGGATCCTGGAGATTTTTGTTTTTATGGCGTGCCCCAGGGATTCGACGCACTCAAAATCCTTTCCTGGTTTTCCGAGGAAAGGTCAGCGTTTTGATTTCGAATTCCGGGGGCTGCGGTGCTGGACAGGAGTTGTTTTGAACGGCGTATGAGCCATCAGAACTTGTGCTGGCCAGGATCGCAATTCTCTGTCCGAAGGTCAGATGCTCACAACTCTGAGACCTGTCAAGCACAAAGGGGTTTTCAAGGCTTCCACTTTTCCAAAATAGTATTGAACTCGTTGGTTGTCCTGACAGGAAGGGGGCCTAAACATCCTCGGACCCTTATGCGCATCATGTGCATCTAACCTTTGGCTTTTCGGATTTTCGCATCTACATCACCGTGTAGTTGCCAAAAAGTGCTTTGCGGATGCCATTTTCGGCATGCAGGGGGGTCTTTGCTCGGAGCTAATGGGGCGGTCAGCAACAGGGAGGGAATTGCTCCTGTTTCTGTGATACGGGCCGGGGACCAGTACTCCTCTTGGCCTTGGGAAGGACATCTGCATGGTGGTAAACTCCTGCAGAGTAACGTGGAACCCAACAAACACCAGTAGAGGAAACTTGTTTTGGATCCCCGTTTTTGAGGCTTCCATGTGAACTTGCAGCGGACTATGGCAGTGGTTCTGCAAGGCCGTGACTTGAGAGTTGCGGTTTTACGAATGCACCTGGAGAACATGAAGCGCTGAACACGCGCCACACACAGATCAACAGAGGTTTGGGAATCCACGGTTCCCCAGAAGTGTGCGGAGAACGTGCGCACGCTTACGAGCACATACATGCCAGGTTTAATTTCAGTATCCTTCAGAGAACAGGAATGATGGCTAGCAATCTGGCTTTCGAGTTCAGGAAGCAGGGACATGGAGGCTGCATCGGTACTGGCCAGGGAGCCAGGTTTGCCCTGGCCGTGGTTAATAACAACGAATGATTTGATTGACTTCCATGAAGTACTTCCAGCTCATGCGCAAGTTTAAAGAGCGTCAAAACCGAGATGACCGGCTTTTCTTGGGCCGCAAGTAAAATTGGTGCCCCGGTGTCCTGCATGGGCGGCTCTCTCCCAACTCATTTGGGATGGTCTTACGAGGATCCAGAACTCAACTGCCGTCTGCTCAACCCTGTACTTCCTTTGCCCGATGTGGAGGTTGAGGCACGTTCTTGGGGCCAGCGTTGGCGGGAGGGGGGGTCGGATGAGGAATCCCAGATGCAAGCTCTTGAAGGGAGCCTCAGTCACAGATTGGCCGGACCATGTCCCTTTTGCGGGAAGCACCCTCACCCTCAAAAATCAGATGATTTGCCTCAGTCGGAGGTGAAATGAAAGAGTAGGGCCGGGGCTTTCCAATGTATTAAAGCAACATTTAAAAAAGAAAAGCATAAAACACATTCACATCATGAATCGGTATCCAATCAAGGACATTCCCAACGCGAACAAAGCGCCCCTCGTTTTTCCGGATCCAATCAAGCGGCGCTTTAGAAGTCCACAGCAAGGCCAACGCATTTGGGGTTCCTGACATTCATGTCAAAGACCTCAGCTGATCTACTATGGAACCTGATCCACCCTACAAATTGTTGAAACAACGCTCTGGCCTCAATCAACCAGACATGCTGATGACACTGATGCGCGGAACCTGGCAAGTAGGGAATGCCGGTTTCACTGTTGGTTGATCAACTTGCTCCCCGCATAGGGAGACCACGCTACGTTCTGAGACTTTGCAGGGGTTCGGCTGGCACCTTGCAACGCACAACATAGTTCCCGGCGGGAGCCTGCTGTGGGGATTGGATCAGGTACGAGTGCAGTGTCAGGGTCCAAGCTTTGGTTTTCACAGAAGTGTTTGCAATCTGGTGTAGTTTCAGCCTGACAGTTAGGTGAGTGGGGCCAATTTTCTACCTGGACCGGCGCTGCAGGTGTGCTTGCAGATGTGGGCGCGCGATCCAGGCGAGAGCAGCGAGCTTGTCCAAATGTGTGGGGCCGCCTGTTTGGACAGAGACCCACATGTTGCTTTGAAATGGGTCCAATCGCTCAACAAGCAAATCCCGCGGGATGTGTTTGGTTCAGCAGGCATGAAGTTAGCTCTGAATCCGACCAAGTGCTCTGGTATTTGTGTCTCACTTTTTGGGCTGCAAACGTCTGGTGACCACAAGGATGCCTATGGTGCCTACGCACAGAAGGCATCACCAATGGATGACTTTTTTTTTTTTTTTAAAGCGAGACATGGACGCAGTGACGTGACATTAAAAAGAAAGCAGGATTCCCGAGACAGCCTTTGTTAGCCGTTCAAGGAGAGGACAAAACGGTTGCTTACAGTGGGCCTCTCCTCAGTTGATGGTTTTTGACCTCCGGGTAATTGATATTTGCCATGCGACATGAACAGCGAGCATTGGCATCTAGCCATTTGTTCGTTCACCATCTGGATGCATAGCGGGGTGCTTTCCAAACTGTGCAACTTCAATTGCCCCCAGAGCTCCAATGCTTTGTTGTGTTGGTTGCTTGGCAAAGATGCTAGGCCAGCAGACCACCTCCTCGTCCTCAAGGCTGGGATGTGAGCCTTCTTGGCGCGATTGGGCAGTCGCCTCTCCCGTGTCGCCAAAAATTGTTCCACTCGACATGCGGATTCTCCAGGTCACAATCAGCGACGAGACAAACACCACGGGCAGCCATAGCATGTGTTTCGGGCTCTCTTGCTCTCTCTCTCTCTCTCTCTCTCTCTCTCTCTTTGTCTGTCTGTCTGTCTGCCTGCCTGCCTGCCTGCCTGCCTGCCTGCCTGCCTGTCTGTCTGTCTGTCTGTCTGTTTGTCTGTCTGTCTGTCTGTCTGTCTGTCTGTTTCTTTCTCGCTCTCTATCTCTCTCTCTCTCTCTCTGTCTGTCGGTGTCTTTTTCTCTCTCTCTCTCTCTATGGTGGTGCAGCATTCTCCAGAGGTTTTGTTCGCAACTCAGGCTATGGCCGAACTGCAGCACATGTTCTGCGCTTGAAAAACGGTGCTCTAGACTCTAGAGCATGCTTCTCTCAAGCACTCACGCAGATGTAGGGTACACGATGGCATGCTGCGTTTCAGCAGCCCGTGAGCCATAAAACATGATTGTGAAGGCCTTGCCTGATTCCCACACTTCAGGCATGGCGCCGTTGCGCCCGCCAGCAGTCCGCAAGGCGGGGTCGCGACCCGCGAAATCTGATTTCGTGGGCGAACCCAAAAGAGGTACCCCGTTTACTCCTGTTCATCTCCAAAGCTTACCATACTTGTTTGGGCAAGTATGGGGGTGTTGCAGGCTTCTGTGTTAACAGGGCCAGCATGTCCGCTCCGCCCCCATATAGTCAGCATTCCACGCATGCTGATTGATATGATATCCTTGATCGAAGGCCAAAACGAGGCCACAAAGGTTTTAGGCTTCCTTCTCCCTTTCAAATATTTCCCAGATTTTGCTTTCCCGAAAGCATCGCGAAGGGTTCTTCCGCGCGGAGCCCTTGGACCAAGTTGCACAGAGCCAAGTTGTGCAGAGCCAAGTTGCACAGAGCCAAGTTGCACAGAGCCAAGTTGCACAGAGCCAAGTTGCAAAGAGCCAAGTGGCAAGGAGCCAAGTTGCACAGAGCCAAGCTGCACAGAGCAAAGTTGCACAGAGCCAAGTTGCACAGAGCCAAGTTGCACAGAGCAAAGCGGCACAGAGCCAAGCCGCAAAGAGCCAAGCCGCGCAGAGCCAAGTGGCACAGAGCCAAGTGGCGCAGAGCCAAGTGGCAGAGAGCCAAGTGGCGCAGAGCCAAGTGGCGCAAAGCCAAGTGGCGCAAAGCCAAGTGGCGCAGATCCACGTGGCCAAGCGGCACAGAGCCAAGTGGCGCGGAGCCAAGTGGCACAGAGCCAAGCGGCACAGAGCCAAGTGGCGCAGAGCCAAGCGGCACAGAGCCAAGTGGCGCGGTGCCAAGTGGCACAGAGCCAAGCCGCAAAGAGCCAAGCCGCGCAGAGCCAAGTGGCACGGAGCCAAGTGGCGCAGAGCCAAGTGGCACAGAGACTTCGCGCATGAAAGCTGCGATTTTCCAGCCGGAGCTGCGAAAGTTTACTTTGCGAGCGCGTACTTTCGCGCTCAAATGTTGCGACTTTCGCGAAAGTGCACTTCGCCTAATGCTTTCGTACTTCAAAGTTGCGAATTTCGAGCTGGAGCTGCCGCGGACCAGGAATCGAACCTGCGACCGCATGATTGCAAACGTCTCTGAGAGGGTCGTAACTCCGAGCGATGATCAAACTCCCACCCCGGCGCCTTTGGAAACCTGAGCTGACTTACATGGCTTCCCCACCTGGCTCTGTGCCACTTGGCTCTGCACCACTTGGCTCTGTGCCGCTTGGCTTCCGCAGCTCCGGCTGGAAAATCGCAACTTTCAAGCGCGAATTATAATTTTTCATATGAACGTAGTACGCGAGGTACACTTTCGCAGCTCCGGCTGGAAAATCACAACTTTTAAGTACGAAAGTAGTGCGCGAAGTGCAGTTTCGCATCTCCGGCTGGAAAATGGAAAGTAGTACACGAAGTACACCTGCGCAGCTCCGGGTGGAAAATCGCATCTTTTAAGTACGAACGTGGTACGCGAAGTACCGCAGCTCCGGCTGGGAAATCGAAACGTTTAAGTACGAAAGTAGTACGCGAAGTAGACTTTTGCAGCTCCGGCTGGAAATTCGCAACTGTTAAGTACGAAAGTGGTACACGAATAGAGGACACTTGTTCAGAGCAACTTGCACAGAGAACTCGGAGAGCTTGCTCAGAGGAACTCGCGCCAACAACTTGCTCAGAGCAACTTGCACAGAGAACGTGCTAGGAGACGTTGCCGCGGCTGCTAATTTTCCCGAGATAGCTGAAAGCTATAGGGGTTCTAACTTCTCATAAAGAGGGGAAAGTGATTTGCGAGATTGACGGCTGGGTGCTAGCGGGCGTGCAGTTGGTGGTGCAGATGTTATTGGGGTGTGCTGTTTGGGGAGCTGTTTGCGGTGCAGGTGATGGTTCGGGCGCAGTTTTGCAAGATTGACAGGGTGCTTTTGGGCATGCAGTTTGGGGCGCTGGTGCAGGTGCTGTTTTGGGAGTGCTGGTGACGGTGCGGGCGCATTTTTACGAGACTGACGGCAGGGTGCAGGGGGTGCTGTTTGGTGCAGTTTGGGGTGCTGGTGCAGGTGCTGTTTTGGAGTGTGGCGTTTTTGCAAGATTGATGGCAGGGTGCTTGGGGGCATGCAGCTTCGGGTGCTGTTGGAGGAGTGTGGGCGTCCGGAGGTGCTGTTAGAGGTGCTGGTGCGCATTCCTCCGCCTGTTTTTTGCTACTTGGGGTCTACGCAGGTGTTTCTTTTTTTGCGGGGGGGTTCTCGGTTCTGACAAAGACAGTTTAGGCTTCACGGGCACGAACGCAATATCAGCCCAGTAACCCAGACAGTTGCCTGATTTTGTGGCGCCCCGTGAAATCTCGCCAACCTGTTTCGTGACTTCGTAGCAGACTCAGGTGAGCTGGCTACGGGGCGTGCGCTGCGGATCAGCGGCGTGGGGCCTGGGCTTCTCATGGAGAGAAAGTCCTCTCCTAGAAATGGATAGGGGGAGCGGGTCAGGCAAATCGGTAAAGCATGAGCGGCGAGAGCAATGGATTGCAAATCCTTCTTGAAGAGATTGGCCAAGAAGAAGGGTGTTTGTAGGTACGGTGCTTTTGACAGGTCGCCAACAACAAGGATTCTCTGTTTGCCTGAACTGGTTCTCAGGCTCATGAGGGGAGCCAACCACTGCTTTCCAATGTGTTGTGCAGAAATTGTCCATCAACCTTCCTCAGAGTCAGGGCATGGTTTTGACCATATTCAACAGCCTGGTTGAGCGACAAACGGTCCCCTGCGAGCCTCCCAGGAGGCGATGGCCCTTGAGTGCCTTAATATCCGAAACATGTTGGATGCATCGGTGGATTCCCCCAACTGCTCTCTGTTCATTTAGCGTTTGTGTTAGCTGCCCAAGGATTTCGCTCTGCGAGCCAAAACTCCTTCCGGTGCATTTCTCATGGAACTTCAATTGCGCTGATGGCTGCGCTGGAGTGACATGCAGCGTGCCCACAGTCAAGCGGGGCGTTTTGCATTGCTAGGGTCGAGTGGTCCAGTTTAGCCTTCTTGCGGGGGCCTAGCTCATGAAACTGGGCCGAGGTGTCTTGCTAGGGTGCTGATTTGGCTGTTTCGTTATCCTCCCCCCAAAAAGAACGCGCTGTGTACGCCGGGCCATTTTGCTTTGCTAGGGTGTCCCGCGGGATCTCCATTTTAGCGAATGCCCTTCCAGCAGCGGTTTCCTTCAAGGAGCTTGAGCAACACGCTTGCATGGTTCTCGCTTTGTTGTTCTGACAACGTGTTCTTCTGGTTGCCCTGCAATGGCTCAGACAAATTCTTATGCGACAAGTAAACGTGAAAACGTGATGTAGGCTCACTCAAGCGCACCGACAAACGCTGCGCAAGCTCATGTGCACAAGCAGAAAGGGCTATCATAGCTGCCACGACTGCTGGACTCATTCATACCCAGTTTCGTTTGCACAAATACCTGTGTCATTACGACAACTGTAAACATACGTACCTTACATCGAGCCTTCACGCTTTGTGCCCTGCTACGTTCTACTCTCGCTCCATGGGCAGGTGATCCAGCTTCGCTATGGTGTTCGTCTCTGTGCTGTCTTGGATGCGCAGCCTGCGCAGGCCCTGGAGTCGGCGGCTTTCCGCGCAACTTCGCCTCCGGTGGCAGCGTTTCTGCAACCGCTGTCCGCCTTCGCATCCGCCGGAAGAAGGCTTCCAATTGGTTCACCTGCCTGTTGGCTAAGGCTCATGCTGCCTTGGCCTCGCCTTACGAGGGATCTTCCCCATTCGTACGTCCCCCGCCTGCGTGCGCTGCCTTCCACGGAGGATCCCTTTCGACCTGTCCGCCCGGCTACTTCCTTGACTACGTCGGGTCATTTTTTTCAGGTCGTGATGCCACCACGAATTGCATGCCACCTTGCTTCCGGTCCCTTTCTCAAGTTTTGGGGTTGAATGGTTGAAGTCGAGTGGTGTTTGCAAGCGACCCTTGGACACGGGCTCCCTTTTTTTGCCCGCCATGTGTTTTTGTTGCTTGAGCCCTACTTTGTTTGTCCCAGAAGGAGTGTTCGACTGTCGGGCGAAGGGAGCTGGGGGAGGGGCACGCAGCACTTCGTATCCCATCACGGTATCCAATCAGAGGAAGCTCCGTTTTTGACTCCAGACAACTCGAATGAAGATGTTGGACACCAGTTTCGGCCCGTGACGTCACCAAAGTCGTGACCATGGCTCCATCTTGCTGCACTGGGCTCAGGCCTGGCGGACTCTGCAAAGAATGCCCAGCGCTTGATGGGCGTCTACGTGGAGTTGGCCTGGAGCCCCAGTGACGCTGCCGCATGCACGCCGGCGCCTTGACACCCTTTTGGAGGAAACCACCCATTTGCTATCTTCAGGAAGGGCGCCTTGAGGTGCAGTGCAGCTTGGACAATTCGTCAGCAGTGACAACACATGCCACAGAAAGATGATCAGCATGACTCCCTCATGCTACGCAATCACCATGGATCATCAATACAGGAACGGGATGGCCACCTGCATCCCCCTTCCTGTACCACCGTTGCGGTTTAGAAACAACACCGTTGCAGAAACGAGTATTTGCGCCGAAACCAAGAGGAGACCAAACATAGTGTCCCCTATTTTGAGACAAATCCAAATGTTGGGCAGTCCACACGGAATTTTGCTCAGGAGGAATTGGCCGGGACATGTGGCTTTGCCCTGACTTTGCGACCATGCAACACAGTTCCTTCAGAAGTCCCTCGACTGCCGCTTGCTTCATATTGTTTGCGTTGAGATGCGTGTGCCACCTTGAAGGTCAGGAGCTAATTTGAGCTGACCTCAAGGGGATCTAAGTTGAAACTGCGCGCCAGACCGCGGTGGCTCTCTTACTGGGGACGAGGTCCTACTTCGAGGAATCTTCTTTTTGACCAAACCTCCCAGATGGCAGACATGTGAGCCACAATCTAAGGGTGAGTGAGGGGCAGCACCATAGGCGCGGACTTCGGTTTTAGGTGGGCCGCTTGATGCCAGATTTGATTATGACTCAGGTGGTTCTCCGTGAACACCGACTGGTGGCCGGCATGTGGGTGTTATAGGCAGAAGCTTGCGCCCGCCCTTCCGAGGCCGAGCAGCATGGCGGCCGGCCTAGCTTTGCCAAACAGGACCAGGCCAGGCAAGGAGAGAAACATCGTTCTTGCATCGCTGAATCGCTGAATCGATGGATTGCCTTTTGGGCAACGTCTCCAAATGGATCGAGAAATCCCACGGGGCGAAGGATGGATGGTCATCAAACTTATATACTTCCGATTTGTCAGCGACACCCCGCTGGGACTCCCTCCTAAAGTAGTCCTCCTCAAAGGCTTGTCAAGGTAAATTGTTGTTAGATTTTTTTCAGTGAAGCACGAGCCAGAAATCAAGTGTCTAAGAACAAAGCTGAGGTACGATTGTGCCAAATACAAGGAAGAACCATCACATCCTCAGCGAACCTTCAGTGAAGGTTCCATGACTTCAGCAGACGGAGTGTGATCTTCTTTTGACCTTTGTTGCCGTTCTGTCGTTAATTGAGTTGATTGGTCCTGGCTTGTGGGCCTTCCAACTCCAGGCAGATGGCACAGCCAGCTTGGGTCCAAGTTCACTGGAGCTCTCATTGTAGTCTAGCTTCCAGCCTGTCCGCGCCAAAATTGAACAGCTGTTCCACTTTGGGGGCTAGTTGCAAGGCAAAAGCGCAGGTACCCTTCCATCCAACATGGAAACCCGAGGCTTCCTTTAGGCTTCAGCTGTGTTCCAGGGTCCATTCAGCTTTCACGTACGTTTTCGAGTCGGGAGGGAAGCTCCGGGCGTTTCGGCTAGGCGAAGCCCAGCTGCTTGTACTTCCACGCAGAGAAGGAGCGAGTCGGAGCCGGGAGCAGCCGATTTGTGTCGTCGGCGTTTGTCGCGTGAAGGTGTGGGTTGCCCCCCCAATTTTGACACAAGCAAATGGCACCTGTTCGTGTGCGTTTTGAAGCGTCACCTCTTGGTTGCCAATTGAGAGTGAGCTGTGTTTTGGATTGTTATGTCTAGAGAGGAAATGTGAAAACCACCCTGAGAGCGGGTAAGAGTGAAGAGAGCACTGCCATATTTGACGGCCACTTGCGATGGTGCTTCCAGACTTCAGACAGCCAATCGGTTTCAGTACTGTGGGCTTTGTGATGCCCTGATGCTTGCAGATGTGGGTGTCTTTCTAGACGAACCCTTATTTGGTTGAAAGGGTAACACTAGTTCTTTGGAGTTCCCCTCGGTGACAAATCCGCATCCTTACCACATTCAGGCATATCATATATCTTATCCTATGAGCTTTTATGCTCGAAATCTAGTTTGGTGTCCAATTTGAACCTACCGGAGCGCTTCCATCCTGAAAACTCTTCTCAGGAGAAGTGGCGGGTGGCCAAGTCCCTCAGTGAGAAGGGTGCCTTTGCCTGCAGTCCGAGAGGGAGTGGGGCGAATTTGGGCGTCACGACACACATTTGCTCTTTTGTCCTCTCACCTGGAGCCCAGAAGAGTTCCCTTTTAGAGTAACATGACCTTCCAGGACCGCCCTGTTTTCATGGTAGTGGGTGGCAGGGCATGCTTCAGAGGTGTCCCCATGACACTCCGTTCAGCGATGGTGGGTCACCGCAACTAAAATGACAGTGCATCCGGCTTGCATGCACTTACAACGGCACTTATGGCGCCACAGGTGACTCATGCCTTTGCAAAGCATCTTTTTGTTTTGGAGCCTTTACGACTTACCAGGTCCGTCAGAAGTCATGAATGAGTCGTTCTTTTTATATGGGAGCCGCCTGGCAATCTTTGTTCAAGCTTTGTGCTCACTCCCTAAAGCAACACGTTTTGGGCTTGCTGAGCTGCCACACATGCTTTGTGCTAGACAGTACTCGAGATTCGAGATGTCTAGGGTCTCATTTGTGCTGACTGGGAACAGCTCGCTATGGACCACCTTGCCGCAAAGCACCCACACCAACACCCACCCACACTGACCCAACTAGCGCTGAGGCGACTTTGCCCACGTCAAGGACACGTGTTCTGGCATGCCGGTCTGTCATGTGCCTTCCGCATGAGCCACTCATTTTAGCTACTAGCAATTCTATATTTTCGTCTTCGACAACTTCATTTGGAGAGGACTGGGGGCCACCAAGTGTAACCCTGAAGTGAACCCTGCTTGCCCACGGGGAAGGCAAGATTCTATGTCTTGGTGTGTTCAGCCGGGCAACACGGTTCTTCAAACAAACCTAAACGGGAAAGACAACAACGGCAAAGTCAGCAACAGATGGAGCATGGGTGAAGCAAGCTGTACAGGGTTCTCGAAAGGGGAGGTGCTGGTTAGTGGCCAATATGCCAATATGTATGTATGTATGATGATGATGATGATGATGCCTGAATTCATCTTTCAGGGAACTGGTGGATTCTGGCAGTTCTGAGGACTTGATTGAGAAAGTGTGGCCTCCAACAACGAGCTTCGACAGACATTGGCGCTGGTTTCGACAGGTGCCCATTTTTGCAGGTGTCCAGCGGGAAAAGGGGGCCTCGGGGCCGCTCAGAAAAGGTTAGGCTTGTGAGTTTCCCATTGTCCAAAGACCCTCAGATGTGGGAAAAAGGTTTGCGACCCACCCAGTTTCCCTTTCATTCCCTTTCCTGCTTTCTTTTTCAAGGCCTTCAATCGCCCACGGTGGGTGCCCTTAAAACCTGCGCGGGGGTGCCTCGGAAGGACAGCTCTGAGCTTCCGTGGCAGGTGAGTCGGCCCTGGAAGGCGCTTCGAGAAACAAGCTGGCGATTTTGTCATCCGGTGAAGGGTGGCCTATTGCGGGGCATGCGGCCTTTACAGGAAAACCAAAGGAACAACATTGTGTGTGTGTGTGTGTGTGTGTGTGTGTGTGTGTGTGTGTGTGTGTGTGTGTGTGTGTGTGTGTGTGTGTGTGTGTGTTTTTAGGTCCCGGTGTTGAGCACACACGCATACAGGCACGCACGCATGCGCGCGCGCACGGACAGTGAGCCCCTATCCAATTTCCCACCGGTTTTGAGATGTGATACCCAAAGAAGATCTTTAGCCACGGCAAATCAGCTGTGCATGCCGTGTACAAAAGCGTTGCATCTTGTAAGATTGTCGCCCAATGCCAGTTTGAATGCACAGAAAAGCCCAAGCCAAAATCACTTCGCTCTAAACCCGGAGCCCAGGGTTTCTTTGCTTATGCTTGGTGGACAGGCTGCGCAGTTTTATTGTTTTGTCCGCATGGATCAGATCAGTCCCCTTCGCTTGGGCTCCCAAATCGAAGCTGCACCGCAGGTGTTCGATGGGGAGCACCACAAGGAGGCCGAGGGGGTGGGGGGCCAGACGCACAACATCGAGACACGGCGGCCGGAGATGAGGGAGCCCTCAACATGGGTGGTTTCTGTTTGGATTCCCATTTCTGAACCACCCCGCAAAGTGTACCCTCAAACAGACAGCGATTCTATTGCTTTCAGCCAAGTCATCAAAATTGAGGTCTGACAAGCGAAAGCAAAATACAATGCAGCAGGCGACTTAATCTGTAGCTAGTTGGAGTAGCTTGGAAGCGTGGCTGCCTTCCGGATGTCAAGCATCCAATCTTGAGGCGAGCTACAAGGAGCGCTTAATTTCCTCCAGGCGGTTCGTTTCCCATTTTGAGAGACTACCACTGCAAGACTTTGGAGACTGGGAGTCGTTTTGTTAGAGCTTAGACATTTGGGTTTGTTTCGCCTTGTTCATTGTTGTTCTGGGGAGTAACATTTTTTCATTTGAAAGAGTTAGCCCTTTTAGTAGTTATCATGTTCTGGGGTGTTGGTGGTTCATCTGTTTAACGGGTTGCGGCTACGTTGTGGCTATGGAAGGCCATATTTTTGTTGAATACTTGTCATACGCTTCGTATAGCATTTGATGTCTTGTTCAGGTTATGATCATGCTCAACAACACAGTCCACCTCATCGTATTTGTTCTGCAGGCGATTCCTGTGGCTAGTGTGTGCAGGCGACATGCTTTCACAACCTCTTGCGTTGCTTCATGTTCTTCAACTCTGTTCCTGCTTGTTTTGCAGACGTCAAAAAGGGAGTGCCGCAGCGTGAAGAGGTTCACGGCAATGGAGACGGATTTGACCCACAACTCATTCTACACGACGTTTTAGTTTCCTTACACACTCAACCTTTGCAAAGCCAGGTAGAACATCTACCTTTTTGTAGGAAGCTCAAGCTTTTCCACAATCATGGCAAAGAAGCAGCATCGCCTTGAGTTGGCGACCCTTGCACTTGTCAGCGCCTTCGGCGCTTTCAGCATGTGCTTGGCGATGCCTTCCCGACCTTCTGCAAGGTGGACGACAGTGGCGAGTCTACAACACGTTTGGACAAGAGACGAGTTTGAAAAGCAGGTGCTGGCCCGCCTACCCGACTTAGAACACATACAGCAATACACAGTATCCAAAGAGGAAACGAAGCGGATGTTCAAAGAGGAGGGTGAGTTTCAGAGAAATTTTGCGACGCCTGGATTCAACTGGAAAAAGGAAAAGAAAGACAATAATCCACCAATGACAGACGTCTTGATTGAATGTGACCTGTACATCAGTTCGGAGGAGGAGATTCAGCTGCAAAACTTCTTCCAGGACAGTTTCACAACAGCGACCTGCCTCACTCACGGAGAATTCGAAAAGCAGTCCTTTAAGCTCATGCTGGCAGAGATTGCAGAAACACCAAGTAGTGTACGTGCAAAGCTCTGGCAGATTGAGAGGGCTCTCAAATTTGGCCCCGATGACATCTCCCACCCAGACGTTTGCGTAGTTTGCATCAATGGGGAGCAAGGGCAGTTCGATATGGCGGCAAGTGCAGCAAAGGCTGCGTTGAAGAAGATGGGCCCACAGGTCTTGCTCAAACGATCCGGTCTTTGCAGTTTGGAGTGCCTATCGTAACATATACGCAGAGCTCCGCACGGTCAACGAGAAGATCGACGATGTGAAGAAAGAGATGAAGAGCGAGATCGACGATCTGAAGAAAGAGATGAAGAGCGAGATCGACGATGTGAAGAAAAAGATGAAGAGCGAGATCGACGATGTGAAGAAAGAGATGAAGAGCGAGATCGACGATGTGAAGAGCGAGATCGACGATGTGAAGAAAGAGATGGGAGAGATTGGATCGAAACTGGACAGGGTTCTCCAAATTCTAGCGGAAAGACCTCCACCACCGAGAAATCCCGCCAAGTCATGAGCACAACTTGAGGTCTGCTCGTGGACGATGCAAAAAGGAGCACTACAAGCAAATGCCAACTTTTTTGCATCCCTGCAAGCAGGTCGATGGCTCATTTTTTGCTTGCACCACTTGCATTTGCATCCCTGGCTTTGCGGCCAGCTGCTGTATCCTTCATATATGCATATATGGATTCAAGGCGGAAACAACGCACTTGTTGGAGGGATTGTTTTTGATTTCTCCTAGATGTACATTTGTTTGCTGTCAATTCTCCAACACCAGGCCATTCAACTGTCGCTCGGAGATGACATCGTTGTTCTTTTCTGGATTCCCCTCGATTCGCGATTCGTTGTCGATTCGCTGCCTGGCGGACATGCTTTGCAAAATGCGGTTGTATAGTGGGATGTTCCTTCATGTTCTCTGGAACACACCTCAAAAACATCCCTTTGGGAAAATAGCTTTGGAACTCCCCTGGTCCAGGTGCTAGGCTTTTTGGAAACTATTCGGCGGTTGGGGAGTTGGGGAGGGTTCCTGGTGTGATTTGGGGGCGTAAAAAATCGATTTGGGGGGGGGGTTCTTTTTCGAGGAAAACCCTTTCGAGGTTGTTTCAAGCGAAGGAAAATGGACAATACCCTTTCCGAGACAAATCCATGTGATGTCATTGGATTTGCCTCAGAATAGGGAACACCTTTTTGAATGGTGTTGTAGGGAAGCCAAAAGGGAAACCATCGGCTCAGGTGGCCTTGCTGCAGGTGTGCCAGGTGGACAGATCTGCTGAGGCCGGAGATTCAGGGAGCGGACCCCCGGTCCCCTGGAGGTGGGGGGCATGGTGAGCTCACCAACATGCACTTTGAAGTTGGTAGGTGGTGTGTCCAAGTATTCATAGGGTTTCGCTCATCCCAAGATCGATCTTGTTCATCTGCAGGTGTCCGTTCTGGTTGCGGTTTGGGTACAAATGGAGAGAACCCTGCTGGCTTCAATTTGCTCCGAATCATTTGCCGCTACCACTTGCATTTTTTCAAGGACTCCTAGGACGAACCTTGTTTATGCAGTGTGCCCCTTTTTCACTGAAATCCTGCTTGGTTGAAAGTCGAAAGCGAAAAATTTGGCTTGACCAATGGGAAAAGGACAGACTCCTTTGACTTGTGACCGAAGCCACGGACAACTTACTTATGGGGACTCCGGATGCCTGAAACGAAAAAGAGGATGATCAATAGGAGGCATCCTTACTCCAGCAGGGTCTGACAGCTTTCCTTAAGCCGGATGTTGTTAGTGTCTTGGCTGTTGAGTGGATCACGGGCTTTCCATTGTCCAGTCTGTGGTTTGGGGGAGGGGGAAGCTCTGTGCTCTTCCTGAAACTCTTTCAGGTCGCTCCCTCGCCCAAACCGGCACGCAAGAGGAGGCAGGCTGCAGAGTCTTTGGATTGTGGCTTTCTCCCAAACGCGAACTGGCAAAACCGGACCCCCCCCCCGGACAAAAACAAACATGTTCTTGGGGACGTCCTTTCAAACTTTGGGGCCTTTTGTTTCCTCATAGCGCCTTCATTCTCACCGATGGATCGCGTCCCAGTCACCGATTTAGCTTTTCCGAGGCTCCAAGTCCTTCTTGCGTGGGATTGGTATTGATCATGGTTCCCTGTGCCGAAATGTGCCCCAGAAAACCAGATTCAAATTCCACCATCCACTTGATCTCTCGTGTTTGAGTTTGTATTGCTGACTTTGCACCCTGAATATGCGCCAAGCCTCTCAGGTCACGGAGTGTGTAGAAAATTCCGCAAAGCCATTTGTCCATGGTCGTTGTGCTCCGTGCATTTGCACAACTGCCCTCAGGTGCCAAAAAGAAGGGAAGGGTTAATTGTCATGCCTTGTAAGCCAGCCCATTGCTTCATTTGATGCTTGTGATGCTTGTGCAGCAAACTCCCGAGCTGTAAACCTGTCATTTGGAACCATCATTCAGGCGTGCGGAGGTTCTGGACGAGATGCCGCTGGAGGTCCTGACCTGCCTGCCTGAGGAGCTGTCGTGGCGTCTGCAAAGCTCCTCCCTTGCTACCAACACAAATTACTGGTAGTCCTTTGCCAGTGTGGGAGGACATGGGCCCACCCAATTTTCAAGAAAAACCAGATCCGCGTCATCCTGAAACAAGTAAGGCTGCACATTCATGGCTTTGGGTTTAAGGCTGATGAGGAACACAACAATCGTTCAGTTGCTCAACGGGAACATTGGCCATAAAAAAAAATTGAGCAATGGGGCGCAAAAGGAGCGCTTCAAGTGAGCACACAGGGGACTTGGGAAATACCATGAGGGGGTTGGGGGGCTGAGGGCTGGACTTCACATCATATGAATATATATATATATATACATATATGTATATATATATATACACATGTACACATACACATGCGACTATGTGCAACGTGGGCCTTTCCTCAAAAGAGCACAACCCCGCGGCAGCGCACCCGCGGTAAGCCCCCGGCTCCCTTCGGCAGGACGCAGCTCCGACCCACCCCGCGCACGGCGCGGTGAGGTGGGAGGCGGCGAACAGCCGCGCTCGGCGCCCTGGGAGGGTTGCGGCAGCGGTGAAAAATTGGATCTGAACATTTGACCACACATAGTTGACTGTATATGTATGGTACGGTACAGCGTTGCCAGCCCCCCCCCGTGGCAGGGAAGAATGAGTCCTATGCGTCGCCGCGTGTTTTTTTGCTTTTGAGCACGTCTTCATGTTACATGTTCATGCACTCACACGCACACCAAAACTCTATCCCCACATGGTGCTACAGAGATAATATCATCAGTCTTCTAATTATATTTGTTATTCCAGGAATTGAAGATTGTTTTTGCAAATCATACTACTTAGCATACATCTTCAAACTTGTTTCATGAGTTTCAAAGGGACGGGTGACTTTGGGGAATTCAATGTTCATGTTTGCTGGTTGTTTTTGTACATTATTATACTTATCATAACTCTTCTAATTCATTCTTATCATTCTTCCCAAAGGGACGGGTGACTTTTGGGGAAGTCCACATATTGTTTGTTCAAATCATCTTATTTCTTAGACTTGCTCTAAGTTTTCGAACCACTCCCAAAGGGACGGGTGCCTTTTTTGGGAATTCAAGAGTCATCTGTGCTAATTGTTCTACTTATCATCAGTCTTCTAATTATAATTGATATTTCCAAAGGAAAAAGTGCCTTTGGGGAATTGAAGATTGGTTTTGCAAATTATACTACTTAGCATACCTCTTCCAACTAGTTTTCTCATGAGTTCCAAGGGGATGACTTTGGGGAATCCAATACTCATGTTTGCTGGTTGATTTTGTAAATAATTCTACTTATCATAACTCTTCTAATTCGTTCTTATCATTCTTCCCAAAGGGACGGGTGACTTTTGGGGAAGTCCAAATATTGTTTGTTCTAATCATCATATTTCTTAGACTTGCTCTACGTTGTCGAACCACTCCCAAAGGGACGGGTGCCTTTTTTGGGAATTCAAGAGTCATCTGTGCTAATTGTTCTGCTTATCATCAGTCTTCTAATTATAATTGATATTTCCAAAGGAAAAAGTGCCTTTGGGGAATTGAAGATTGGTTTTGCAAATTATACTACTTAGCATACCTCTTCCAACTAGTTTTCTCATGAGTTCCAAAGGGGTGACTTTGGGGAATTCAATTTTCATGTTTGCTGCTTGTTTTTGTAGATTATTCTACTTATCATTACTTTTCTAATTGATTCTTATCGTTCTGCCTAAAGGGACGGGTGACTTTTGGGGAAGTCCACATATTGTTTGTTCAAATCATCTTATTTCTTAGACTTGCTCTAAGTATTCGAACCACTCCCAAAGGGACGGGTGCCTTTTTGGGAATTCAAGAGTCATCTGTGCTAATTGTTCTACTTATCATCAGTCTTCTAATTATAATTGATATTTCCAAAGGAAAAAGTGCCTTTGGGGAATTGAAGATTGGTTTTGCAAATTATACTAATTACTTAGCATACCTCTTCCAACTAGTTTTCTCATGAGTTCCAAGGGGATGACTTTGGGGAATCCAATACTCATGTTTGCTGGTTGATTTTGTAAATAATTCTACTTATCATAACTCTTCTAATTCGTTCTAATCATTCTTCCCAAAGGGACGGGTGACTTTTGGGGAATTCCAAATATTGTTTGTTCTAATCATCATATTTCTTAGACTTGCTCTGAGTTGTCGAACCACTCCCAAAGGGACGGGTGCCTTTTTGGGAATTCAAGAGTCATCTGTGCTAATTGTTCTACTTATCATCAATCTTCTAATTATAGTTGATATTCCCAAAGAGACGGGCGCCTTTGGAAAATTGAAGATTGTGTTTGCAAACTATTCTACTTAGCATACCTCTTCCAACTAGTTTTCTCATGAGTTCCAAAGGGATGACTTTGTGGAATTCAATACGCATGTTTGCTGGTTGTTTTTGTAAATTATTCTACTTATCATAACTCTTCTAATTCATTCTTACCATTCTTCCCAAAGGGACGGGTGACTTTTGGGGAAGTCCACATATTGTTTGCTCTAAGGATTGTATTTCTTAGGCTTGCTCTAAGTATTCGAACCACTCCCAAAGGGACGGGTGCCTTTTTGGGAATTCAAGAGTCATCTGTGCTAATTGTTCTACTTATCATCAGTCTTCTAACTATAATTGATATTTCCAAAGGAACGAGTGCCTTTGGGGAATTGAAGATTGGCTGTGCAAGTTATACTACTTAGCATACCTCTTCCACTAGTTTTCTCATGAGTTCCAAGGGGATGACTTTGGGGAATCCAATACTCATGTTTGCTGGTTGTTTTTGTACATTATTTTACTTATCATAACTCTTCTAATTCGTTCTTATCATTCTTCCCAAAGGGACGGGTGACTTTTGGGGAATTCCACATATTGTTTGTTCTATTCATCTTATTTCTTAGACTTGCTCTGAGTTGTCGAACCACTCCCAAAGGGACGGGTGCCTTTTTGGGAATTCAAGAGTCATTTGTGCTATTTGTTCTACTTATCATCAGTCTTCTAGCTATAATTGATATTCCCAAAGAGACGGGCGCCTTCGGAAAATTGAAGATTGTGTTTGCAAACTATTCTACTTAGCATACCTCTTCCAAGTAGTTTTCACATGAGTTCCAAGGGGATGACTTTGGGGAATTCAATATTCATGTTTGCTGGTTGTTTTTGTAAATTGTTCTACTTATCATAACTCTTCTAATTCGTTCTTATCATTCTTCCCAAAGGGACGGGTGACTTTTGGGGAATTCCACATATTGTTTGTTCTATTCATCATATTTCTTAGACTTGCTCTGAGTTGTCGAACCACTCCCAAAGGGACGGGTGCCTTTTTTGGGAATTCAAGAGTCATCTGTGCTAATTGTTCTACTTATCATCAGTCTTCTAGCTATAATTGATATTCCCAAAGAGACGGGCGCCTTCGGAAAATTGAAGATTGTGTTTGCAAATTATACTACTTAGCATACCTCTTCCAAGTAGTTTTCTCATGAGTTCCAAAGGGATGACTTTGGGGAATTCCATATTCATGTTTGCTGGTTGTTTTTGTAGATTATTCTACTTATCATTACTCTTCTAATTGATTCTTATCGTTCTGCCTAAAGGGACGGGTGACTTTTGGGGAAGTCCAAATATTGTTTGTTCTATTCATTGTATTTCGTAGACTTGCTCTAAGTATTCGAACCACTCCCAAAGGGACGGGTGCCTTTTTGGGAATTCAAGAGTCCTCTGTGCTAATTGCTCTACTTCTCATCAGTGTTCTAAGTATAGTTGTTATTCCCAGAGGGACGGGCGCCTTTGGGGAATTGAAGGTTATTTTTGCCAATTATACTACTTAGCATACCTCTTCTAACTAGTTTTCTCATGAGTTCCAACGGGACGGGTGCCTTCTGGGCAACTCAAGAGTCCTGATTGCTAATTGTTCTACTTATCATCAGTCTCTAAGTGCACTTGTTTTCCCAAAGGGAGGGGGGCCTTTCGGAATGGAATATTCATGTTTGCTAACTATTCTGCTTATCATAACTCTTCTAGTTCTTCTCCAAAGGGGCGGGTCACTTTTGGGGAAGTCCAAATTAATTGTTGTTCTAAACATTGTGTGTCTTATACTTGCTCTCAGTATTCGAACCACTGCCAAAGGGGCGGGTGCCTTTAGGGAATTCAAGAATCCTGTTTGCTAATTATCATCAGTCTTTTAATCATAATTGTTATTCCCAAAGGGACGGGTGCCTTTGGGGAATTGAAGATTGTTTTTGCAAATTATACTACTTAGCATACCTCCTCTAAGTATTCTCTCATGAGTTCCAAAGGGATGACTTTGGGGAATTCAATATTCATGTTTGCTGGTTGTTTTGTAAATTGTTATACTTATCATAACTCTTCTAATTCGTTCTTATCATTCTTCCCAAAGGGACGGGTGTCTTTTGGGGAAGTCAATTTTTCTAATCAGTCTATTTCTTAGACTTGCTCTAAGTATTCCAACCACTGCCAAAGAGGCGGGTGGCTTGTTGGGAATTCAAGAGTCCTCTGTGCTAATTGTTCTACTTATCATGAGTCTTCTAAATACAATTGTTTTTCCTGAAGGGGCGGGTGCCTTTGGGGAATTGAAGATGGCTTTTTTGCAAATTATTCTACTTAGCATACCTCTTCTAATTGGGTTTCTCTTTTTTTTGAAATGGACGGGTGACTGTTGGGGGAATTCCAAATTTATGTTTGCGCTAATCATTCTGTGTCTTATAATTGCTCTAAGTATTCGATCCACCCCCAAAGGGACGGGTGCCGTTTGGGGAATTCAAAAGTCCTGTGTGCAAATATTCTACTTGTAATCCGTCCTCTAAATACAAATGCTAGTCTCAAAGGGACGGGTGCGTTTGGGGAATTGAAGATTGATTTTGCAAATTATTATACTTATCACAACTCTTCCAATTAATTCTTCTCATTACTCCCAACGGGTGCCTCTTGGGGACTTCCAGATTCATGCTTGTTCTCATCATTCTATGTCTTTTCATTGCTCTAAGTATTCGAACCACTCCCAGAGGGACAGGTGTCTTTTGCGGAATTCAAGAGACCTGTTTGCTAAACAGTCTACGTATCATCAGTCTTCTAAATATAATTGTTATTCCCAAAGGGACGGGTGCCTTTGGGGAATTGAAGATTGTGTTGCGCAAATGATTCTACTTATTCCTAACTCGTCTAGTTAATTATTCTCATTACTCCCAAAGGGACGGGTGCTTTTGGGGACTTGCAGATTCATGTTTGTTCTAATCATTCTAAGTCTTTTAATTGCTCTAAGTATTCGGACCACTCCCAAAGGGACGGGTGCTTTTTTGGGAATTCCAGGCCAGTCTTTCACGAAGGGACGGGAGCAGTTTGGCGAATTCCTGAATCATGTGTTTTCTAATCATCCTTCGTCTTCTTCCCAAAGGGACGGTTGCCTTTTGTGGAATTTCAGATTCAAATTTGCTCTTGGTATTCTACTTTTTACAATAAAAATCATTCTCTAATTTGTTCCAAAGAGGGGTACCTTTTTGG